CCCCCCCCCCATCTTCCTCCCTATGCACACTGGGGACCCCCCAGGCCTCCTCCCCACAGCCCCCACCACCAGGTGTGACTTGCCACGTGCCTAGAGCATGCTGCACCCATCTGGCAGATGAGGAGTCTAGTTTGGAGGTGCAAGCTCCCAGCCCTTCCTCCCCGTCCCCCTGCCTGAACTCCTGGGTTCCTAGAGGGCAGCGGAGCATCCCCTTCCCCTTGGTGGCAGGCACCAGGAGGCAGTGCTGTGCCTGGGCACTGAGGTGTTCCTCCCACGCCCCCCGCAGAGATGCAGAGTGGCTGGTGGTGGCTGCGGGAGCCCGAGGAGCTGGAGGCAGTGGCACGGGCCCTGCACCCCCGCGGCATCCGCGAGAAGGTGCTGCACAAGCACTTGGCCAAGCACAAGGACTTCCTGCGTGAGGTCTGCCAGCGCCCCCCCACTGGTGAGGACCCCTGGCCCCAGGGAGGGGGTGGGCAGGAGGCAAGGGCCGGCTCCCCATGCTAACTTCCCTCCCCTCCCCTCCATACCTCTCCACCGCCCAGACCCCATCTTCCAGGCAGGCACAAGCCCTGCGGCCCCCGCAGGCTGGTCAGCAATGGAGCAGGCTTTTGAGGTGGACCTGGCCGTGCTGCGGGGGGTGGAGGAGCTGGAGCAGCGGGTGCTACAGGCCGACCTGCAGATCCGGGTAGGTGCTGCAGCAGTGGGGTGGGGGGGAGTGTTCGCTGGAGCCAGGTCAAGGGAATGGGGTCCCTGGAGCCAGGGGAGTGGCGTGCGGGAGCGTCGGGGGGGGGGGGGGGGGGGGGGCGCTCCAGAACCAGGGGAGATCTCTAGGCACCAGCAGCAGACCCTCCACACCCCATGGGACAGGGGGGCAGTCTCTGCACCACCCTAGAGCTGGCTTGTGAGGGCTCTGCTGCCTGCGGGGGCAGCCCCTCAGCTAAGACCCTGCCCCCCCCCCAGGGCTGGATGTGCCCGAGCCCGGACTCTGTGCGGGGCGACCTGCAGTACTGCGAGCACAAGGCGGAGGCGCTGGAGGAGCTGGGGGGCCGGGGCCGGCGGGAGGGACCGGTGCCGCGGCGCGAGGCCTCCAACCCACTGGACCTGGCTGTGCTGCGCCTCGGCGCCCTGGAGCAGAACGTGGAGCGGCGCTACCTGAAGGAGCCGCTCTGGGCCCCCCACGACGTGGTGCTGGAGAAGGCGCTGCTCACTGGGCCCCTAGGCTCTGACCTGGGCGGCACCGAAATGTGAGTGCCCCCCCCTTGCCCATAGCCGGACTCCTGGGTTCTTCTCCCCTCGCTGTGAAGGGGAGGGGTATCCGCTGGGGTCTCGGGGTCTCGCTCCCCAACGCGTGCTTCAGTTTCCCCCTCTGCACGAGCTGGGCAGCAGCTGCCTTCTGCTAGGGGTTGGGGACGGGTTCATGAGTGTGAGAACAGCCCCCTACCCCCCAGCACCTCTGAGTCCTACAACCCCTCCCCACAGCGCGTACGAGATCACGCCCCGCATGCGGACGTGGCGCCAGACACTGGAGCGGTGCCGGAGCGCGGCCCAGGTTTCGCTCTGCATCTGCCAGCTGGAGAAGTCCATAGCCTGGGAGAAGTCCGTCAACAAAGTGGTGAGTGGGGGGGAGCTGGGGGGAGGCACCAGGGTCCGGGGAAGCTCCAAGATCCAAAATCCTGAGCTGGCCTGGCCCCTGGCCCCTGCCCCACAGACCTGCCTCGTTTGCCGGCGGGGGGATGATGACGAGCACCTGCTGCTGTGCGATGGCTGCGACCGCGGCTGCCACCTCTACTGCCACCAGCCCAAGATGGCAGCTGTGCCCGAGGGCGACTGGTTCTGCTCCATCTGCTTGGCCCAGGTATGACCCCATCTCTCCCCAGTGCCCACCCCGGCCCCCCTCTGGTTTCCCCAACCCCTGCGGATTGGGGCGAAAGGAGCATGGGGCCATGACACTGCCCCACTGCACCTGCAGGCCTCGGGTGAATACCCACCGGAGCCCGGCTCCCCGCGGCGGGGCAAGAAGCGGAAACGGGGGCGACTCTTTGGGGGGGGCTTCGCAGAGGAGGATGAGAGCCCCCGGCGCCGAGCAGGGCCACGCCACGACTCCCCGGCCGTGCCCCGCTACTCCGGAGAGGGGCTGTCGCCTGCCAAGCGGAGGAGAGTGTCTCCACGGGGCCAGAGCAGCGACCTGACCTTCTGCGAGTGAGTGTGGGGGGGCTGCAGGTGGGATCCCCTGCGGGGTGGGGAACCTGCCTGCAATGCAGGGAGGGGGCAACATGGGTGGGAGCAAGGGACCTTCTCTGGCCTGGTGCCCCCAGCCAGAGGTAGTATCTCGGGTCTCTGGCCCCTGCCCCCTTGAACCTTGGCCCTGCCTCTGAGCCTTGGCCTTGCCCCCTAGGATCATCCTGATGGAGATGGAGTCCCACGAGGACGCCTGGCCCTTCCTGGAGCCCGTCAACCCCCGCCTGGTGCCCGGCTACCGCAAGATCATCAAGAACCCCATGGACTTTGCCACCATGCGCACGCGGCTGCTTCGAGGCGGGTGAGCACGGGGGGGCAAAGCATCTGCCCCCCGGGGCAGGGGCAGAACTGGGCTGCCCAGGGCTGAGGTCCCAGGGGCAAGAGGGGCACCAGGGAGGAAGGGATGGGGGTCAGGGGCTCAGAGGCAGCTCCCTCTAACCACCCCCCTGCCACCCCTCCCAGGTACATGAGCTCGGAGGAGTTCTTGGCCGACGCACTGCTGGTGTTCGACAACTGCCAGACTTTCAACGAGGACGAGTCGGAGGTGGGCCGCGCCGGGCGCGCCATGCGCCGCTTCTTCGAGAGCCGCTGGGAGGAGTTTTATCAGGGAAAGCAGCTGGCTCCTGCCCTGTGAGGCTCCGCCGGGCCAGGGGTTTTGGGGGAACGCCCCTTGGCCCAGCCGCCCCTCACGCCCTCCAAAAG